CTTGCGGCAACCACATGTGACGACCCCGGGCTGGACTCCGCTTCGTCCACGGTGAAAGCCGATCCGGTGATCTACAGCACGAAGTTGTTGTATTTCCTCAGCGACCAGCACGGATCAGCTCTAGGCATGACGAAGTGATATCGTCCTCTTTTGGAAGACCAAACAAAGTAGTTTCGCTTATGTTCGTCTAATCAAAACGCTCGGTCCGAGCGTTTTAATATGCTTTCCTACCTGCCTGTCAACGTATGTATTAGCATACCTCTGCGCAGACAGGATACTCATCCGCGCGTTCTCGCACGCTGTGCAGACAGAGCTAGATGGCAGGCAAACATCAACAAGCCGATCTTCCTTCCTGGTATTGTAGTACTAAGATTTCTCACTGGTGAATGACACATGATGTAGCCCAGCGGTTAATCCAGTCCTCGCGCCAGCTCGTTAGAAGTGAGCTACGTGCATGAACTGTGTTCCGATCGATATGATCCCTAAAAGAATATCTCTTTGGATTTGAGACTTTAGTCTTTGCAACTTTACAGATCTTCTTTATGCACCAAGAGCTTATGTAACACCCCAAAGAGAAAGGAAAAATTGAAATCGCATCATATGACCCCTTTAAATAAATGTCTTCTTTTTGACTCTCTTTTTTTAATCAAGTAAGGTTACCTACGTGGTTTTCGTTACATTCCTCAAATTTTCCCAAAGAGTAGTAGAAGGCTTTCAGCTGGCAAGTCAATGCTGCATCTGAAAACCAATGTAATTTCCGTCATTTGTTCTGTTTAAAGGGTCAGTCCGAAAATTTGTTTGTTTACTGGTATTTTGTACTGACTAAAAACACGTCCCATCCTTGCCTCAGAATTAATACACTTTTATTGGGGATATTTTACAGTTTTTCCTTGCAGCAAGCTGTGATTATTGATCTACTGGCACCTGCTGGTTCAGTGTTTCCCAACCGGGGTGCCGTCTGTCGAGAGCAGGGGTGCCATGTAAAAATCCTTTTTTAATATTTGTAAATTGCTAAAATGTTCAAAAAAGCATCTATTATATAATATCCATTTCTGATGTCGCCAATAATTAGAGATGCACCGAAATTTCGGCTGCCGAAAATTAGTTCACTCAGGTTTCACTTTCACGTGGTGTGACGCTCTGCGTATTATCCGCTCTATGCGTGTGCGCTCCGCTCAGTCGCTCCACTCGTATACCATTCAAGCTCATCGGAACAGCAAAGTCCACTCAAAAATTGAGCCGACAGGAAACATCGATGTAGTACAGTATTGTTTCTGTCTGCAATAGCACTACTGTGTTGTAACATGGTGTGGTATATGGGCAACTCTGGTAACGCTGCCCTCTCATTCATTGATCTGCTAACTGCTATGTTTTGCTCGCGTGTTCTGATAATAATAGCTTTCTAGGACTAAACATTATTTGGATAATTGGTAAAAAAAAATTATCCAAATAATTATCCACAAAAAATTTGGTGACCTCTGTGTCCTGTGGTGT